CACCAACACTCAACGGGAAACAATCGGAAACGTCGGGAAAAATCCAGATTTTCCTGTGCAAAATGTCAATTGCACAAAAATTGCCCTTTCTGTCAACAAATCATGTTGGGCAGGGCTTGCTGCACACCTGCTAAGGAGCAGCGTGGGGTCCAAGGACCGGGGGGGGGGGTCTGAGGACCGAGGAGGCCCGAGGACCGAGGGGGCCCTGCCAGTAATGCTGGCTGGGAAGTGAATCTTGGCACGGGCCCAAGCCTGGCCACGGACCCTGCCCGAGCCAGTGACTTGGTTCCTCATGGCTGATCGGTTATCTGGAGACGAGGATGATAAGACACACGTCCCTCCCCCCTTCCCTCATCCTGCAAATCCAGCTCCCCCTCCTCCCTCCTCGTTAGCAATTATGCAAAATGAGGCCAGCAGCCAGCCTGGGCCCAGGTTTGGGGGCGTCTGGCCTTGAACCCCCAGCTCCGCAGCAGCCGTGCCTCGCAGCTCCCTCCCCGGCGGGTGCTGAGCCCGCAATCTCTAATCGCTGCCCTCCGGCAGGTCCTCGTGCCCATGGGCTACAAAGTCCCTCCCGGGGCTGTGCCCATGCATGCTAATGGGATTAGGGAGCAAGTCTGAGTCCAAAGTCCCCTGGAGAATGGGGCTATTACCGTGGGCCCCGGGCACAGGCTGTCACAGACACCGTGCGGCTTCCCCGCTGCTCCTGTCCTTGCCATGCGGCTCCCTGCGCCCGTCCTGCTCTGCCTCGGGGCCTGGCTGTCCTATGCCAGTGCCACCATCCCAGGTAAACCAGCCTCCCTTCCCCAAGGGGCAGTTCCCCCCCCCCAACGCTGGGCGTGGGTGTCTCTGGCCTGAGGCCAAGCACCGGGAGTGGCTGCGAGACGGCGCGAGGGACCCGGCTGACGCGTGGCAGAGCTCACCCAACTGTTCAGGGGAGGCATCGGCTGGTCTGGGATCCCGGGCTGGGCGCTGAGCAGGGGCCACTAACTCATTGCTCCAAGGCCTGTAGTGACTCAAACCCCTGCCTGACCCAGGCCCCTCGGGGGGGCTCCGGTGGCTGGCACTGGGGGAAGACGCGGGCGAGACCCTGTCCGATCTGTGCCCATCGGAGCGCTGAGCTCCCAGGCAGTGTCTGCGGTGACACCGGCAGCCTTGGCAAATCGAGGTAGCCGTGTACTGGTTCCCGGGCACCCAGTCACTAAGAGCCCTCCGGCTGGCACAGAGAGGCGAGGGTTAGAGGGCATCCAGGCAGGACAGCGCCACGCTGCAGTCGAGGCCATCTGGACGCTCACTGGCGCCAGCCCAGAGCCCTTCGTGCTGGGGTGGAGTTGGGAGTGCAAAGGCCAGCTCGCAACCCAGCTCCCTGCCACCTTCACCCTCTGCTTCCCGGCCCGGCGCTGGGGGAAGCGCCTGCCTCTGGGGTGGGGATTGCTAGGTGTGAACGTCCCAGCCAGTGGGCTTCCCCTCGGCTTTGTCTCCATTGAGCTGGGTTGGTTTCAGCCAGTTTTAATGTCCCCTTCATGCACCGCAGCCAGCACCATGGTGCTCACACACACACACCAACCCTGGAACAGCTGTTTAACCCTTCACTAACTGCACACAGCACTGCAAACACAGAGGGAAACTGAGGCACACACAGGCATAAACATACTACCAACCTCCCCCTTCGCCCCGGTGTGAGGGGTCCTGCTGACTCCGGGAACCAGGCTCCGGGACCGAGCAGTGCAGCCAGGGCGTCTAACGGCACCACCTCAGATTTATTGTAGGGCTCCTGCTCCCAGCTGCTGCTGTCCCCACAAGCTCAGACAGCTCAGACAGCCCCCACTTCCAGCTGCTGGCTCCTTCCCCCACCTGTCCCCCAGCTCCCTCCCCGGTCATGCACCCCAAACAGACCTCCCGGTTCCTGGACACCCTCCTCCCAGCACCTTAGCTGGGCACCCTGAACAAACTCCCAGCCCCTGGGAACGAAGCTAGGCTCTAAGGGCTGAGAGGGAGCCCCGCGGCCCCGGCGCATCCCCTGGACCACTTGCCAAGGGCTGGACTGAACTAAGTCCATGTTGGCCTGGTCCCATTCCCACCGCCCGGCATTCGGTTTCGTGCCAAATTGGGGGCGAAAAGTTAAAATCCCAGCAAGGAAATTCTGCAAAACCTGGCTCCAAGGCCAGCTTCGTTTGAAGCCAGATCGACACTGAATGGCATTGTCACGTCGTGGCGCATTGCCTTCTGGGAGCTGAAGGTGTGGTGCTTGAGGCCCCAATTCACTCTATGGGCCAGGTGCCGTGGGCAGCCTACACCCCCCATGATGCACCACGCAGCTCAATCAGCGGGACTCTGCATTGCATGGTGGGAGATGTAGTCCTCCCAGGACCCCAGCCCAGGGGAGCGAATGGGACGCTGGGAAATGCAATTAGCGTTCTATTGAACTGCTTGGAAATTAACACAGAGCATCTCGCCTGGGCCGAACCCACCCGGCACCAACACTCAACGGGAAACAATCGGAAACGTCGGGAAAAATCCAGATTTTCCTGTGCAAAATGTCAATTGCACAAAAATTGCCCTTTCTGTCAACAAATCATCCCAGTGTCCCGCCCAGCCAGCGGACAGGGGCCTCCCCAGGGCACCATGGGTCCCGGGTACCACGACGTCCCCCAGCACTGTGAGTGCTGCTGAGTTGGGGTGCCAACGTCACGCTCAGGAGCTGTCGGGGCCAGTTCGGCACCTAAGGACTCAGCATCCTCGTCTGGCTGTGAGCCCGGCATGCCCAGGGCAGCCCGAGCCCGGCAGGAGAGGTGCCAGCCAGGCCCTGGCTCCGGCTAGGAGGTGCCACGTCTGGCTCCCGCACTGGTTTGCAGCTGTTGCATGCCGTG